AGGTTGAGCGTCGAAGTTGACATCTCCTGCACTCTGAAAGGTTTTGAATTGTTACCCGAAGACAAGGGAAAAATCAGTCAGTATTCGTTATTTTTCGTCACTTCTTTTTATGTTTGTTCAGTAAGGTGTTTGATGTCCAATCATAAAAATCTTTTGTGAAAGTGTTTATCTGAGCTGTTCATTAACCAATCACCCACTGTACTTAAAAAATTAAACTTCACTAACTTTAATTTGTTACTCTTAAAAATTATTGATGTCAGTTTACTTCATTTTTTAATTCTTATTTGATACTGATCTGTTATAACATTTTTTTTAATTGAGCAGAGTGTAAGCAGAGTTCTGCATAAGTCATAAGGTGTTTTGTTTATGATCAAAAGTGTTAAGTAACCACATGATCACTAAACACGGTTTTTGGAAATATGTACAACTCAGCAAGACTGATGTCAAGACAAAATTAGGATTTTGAGACTTGATCTGTGGACCGAGATATTTGGAGTCAAAGTTCACTATGTAGAGTCTATGTGGTTTGTGTCAATCAATTTATGTTGCTGTCAATTTATGTTGATCTCTATGACAATTTTTTAATTTTGATCGTTATGATAGGCATTTAACATGTACAGCCTGCAGCCACACATTTGCTAGAGTTGGTAGGCAACTAGCTCTACATGTGGGTGTTTTAAATATTTGATGTTTTTGTCAATTATGATGTTGGACATGCATGTCCTCCCCAGAACCTGTGGGTTTTAAACTACTTTAGACTGAATGTTAGAAGTGTATTATCATATTTTGTGTTTTTGTGTAAAGTTGAAACAGAAAAACCTATGCCACAGAGCTCGGTTTTATTTTCCTAGAAAATACCTAGTACAGTAGACCCACCCTATAACACGGTATATACGTTCCGTGTTTTATGAATTCCATGTTGTACGAGTCACTTAAATACTTAGCCAATCACAGTTTGGCATGCATGTAGTTTAGGGACTATGGCTGTTTGAAAGGTTTTCTTCCATAAAATTAATCGATTCTAGACTAATTTGACTCAACATTTCCAAAACACGTATAATTTTTTGGGAATAATCCATATAAACTACGCTATAAACAAAAAATTGTAGGATTACTTACTGAGTGTGCACCGTTTGACGACACCATTGCTTAAGCTTGTTTTCGTTGCAGAGCAGTGCATCGAACGGCGGGTGCGTGTTTTCTGATAAGTTGTTTTTCTAAAAAAAATTTGCTGAACTGTGGAGACATCATTAATATAAATATAATTTTTATGGCCGTTAAATAATAAATGGTTTTTAGTAGGTCCGATGCTCATTTAAACTCAACGGTTTGTGCAATATCCGCTGTTGGTCTAGATTCAACCAATCCTGTCGCAACATGAGTCAGTGATGACGTTTTACCATATTATACGAATCTCTTTTAGTGTGTTTATACGAATACGATCGCAATTTTTTTGCCATTTTATACGAATCCATATTATATGAACCCTTGTTACAGGGGGGTCTACTGTACAATGATACCTTAGTACAGGGATGGCAAACCTTTTTGAGCCCACATACTGCATATTAAGCATACCTACCTTTAAAGACGTTTGTGCATGCCAAAATTTTAAATTTCAAATAATATTTTAAAGAAATCAAATAAATATGCTTCAATTAGAATAAATGTAAAAAGGCTGATTCAAAAAAAGGATGATCAGATGATGAACTGAAAGGATGATTGAAAATGACAAATGAGAAATCAAAATTGTATTTGTTACATGCCATAGGTTTGCTATCCCATCTTTAGTACTTGAAGTTCCAAACTTGAGCAATTCAATATTTGAACACATGTTCAAGAAAAAGAATTTGCTTGAAACTGTAAGCTCGCCAACTTTTAGAAGGAAGTCAGTTAATCCCACACTGGAAAGGCTAGGGTCTGCATGTGAGTGGTGATGGCAGAAACTGAGGTGACAAGTGTTTTACAAAGAAAACTTTATTGAGACTGAAGGATGCTTACATATATGATGAGTACAAAGGTCTCAATGTCTTGAGGTATCTGGTCAGATGTTGCACTTGTAGGACGTGTGCAATCTCAGGGCAGGTGAGAAGAGTTCATTCGTCTCCCTCTTTGACATTGATGAGAGAGTGACAGAGGAACAATGTTTTGTTTGATGGAAGATGCACACATGGCATGATTTCAACAGATTACACCAATTAAGTGATTGTAATCCAGAGGGTGACACTGACGTTGAATTACCAATTTTCATAGTTTTTCTCCTGGTATCTGTATTACTGATTGGCACCAAGTCCCATTTCTCGCTTCCCAATTGGTCTCTCCATTGTCTTTAGGTGAAAACCAAGACCTGATCAGGTCATGAGAAAGGTCCAATTTGAGGCATCTGTTCGACGCCTTTCCTTTTCATCGACTGTCCCAACTCTGATCGGAGATTGTTGATAGAACTATAAGTTTTGTGCTCATAATTTATTCTGTTGTTTCTGTTTTATGTCATTTTGAAACTTCAATGATTGTATGTGATGTTTTTCTATCTATCAAATCTTTCCCCTTCTCCAAATTTTTAATCTAGATCAACTGTTTATGAGTGCTTGTGTTAGATTTTTTCCTGTTTATGAGTACTGGTGTCAGGTTACGTCATTCAACTTCACATAGCATTTGTTTTGACAACTACAGTCGTTTCTTCTCTCCTTTACATAACTAACATGACCTTTGGTCCAACTTGACAACAGCATTTTCACTTTTAATTAATTTGAAATTAAATTTTAGTTTTGACCCATTCTGGAACCTCACAGTACTCAACAAAACTAACACACCTACTAGAACAAATTTTCAGTTAATGACAAATACAGTGGGTGATTGGTTAACGAACACTTTCGCGAAAGATTTTTATGATTGGATAATGAACCCTTCACTGAACAAACACAAGAAGTGAAGTAAAATAACAAATACCGATTGATTTTCCCTTGTCTTCAGGTAACAATTTGAAACTTTTCGGGAGACGTCAAAATCAATGCTCAACCCGATACCAATCAGATAGTATTCCTCTGAATTTTGAAACTCTCCCTTGTAATTTCAGCCTTTTGTATTTCTGACAGAAACAATTCTTTTACGTTTTCTACTGAAAATGCGGATTTATGCCGATATCTGCTATTAAAGATCTTTTGAAGAAGTGGGAGAATGTCAGATCAACAGTCTTAGAATAGCGTCCAAACCAGGTTGAGGTTAATAGGCTTAGGGATCTCTACAATTACAATGCTATTAATTACTTCTGAAAAATCATGAAGAAGACAGAAAAGCAATCAACATTGGACAGATTTTTTAAACCCCACAAATGGAAAAAACATGACTAATAAAAATGCAAGACTGTGTATATATGTATTTTTATTATTACATACAAATAAATGTAGTAAGAAAGTATATATTTTTTTATTTTTGGGGGTCTCCAGAAAAAATTAATCAAATTCCCATAGAAACCTATGGTAAATCGATATTCGGTTAACAAACAATTTGGATAGCAAACAAAGTTCTGGAATGGATTATGTTTGCTACCCACTGTATTTTTATTTTAACTTTAATTTTGTCATCCAAAGAAATTTTTGACAATAAGAATGAATAACTAATTTAAAAATAAAATGAAACTCGATTTGTCTCTCTTTGTAAGACAGCTCAAGGGTTTTAAATAACTTAATGTGGCCAGAACTTGATCATCATGTTTTTCAACCATTCCAAGTTGATGAAATATTTCAACAATACTTGTTAAGATTTGTTGCAAGTTTATGAGTTGTTATTTGTTGATCTTTAATCATTGCTTCCAACAATATTTCTTTGTCAACAGCTTTTGGGTTCTCCATACATTTTGTATCTTTAAGTTTAAAATTTCCAAAATGAAACTTTTTAAACAATATTTGACACATTGAAAGTTTAGGAGCATCTTCCTGATATACATTATAAATGTTTTTACAATTTATATGACATTATATTCTTTTCGAAACTCAAAAGCATAATATGTCAGATATGCATTTTACCTGTGGACATTTTGACTTGATTTTATTCAAACAAAACACGAAGTAAAAAGTTCAAAATAATACACATTAGCAATATGTTAAATTTTACAACTGTTACAGTTAAATCACACATTTGTGTTAGGTAAATACAACTGTTAAAAATACTCAAAAACTTTCCCTTCAATCCAATAAAATTAATAGGCTTTTTTTGGTCATTCTATTACTTATGGGTATTTTTTGGTTGTTTTATGCATATTAAGCTTGTAAACTTTTTGTTAAATTCTAGTTAAAATGCTTTTATAAGTGTATTTTTGGTCTGGAATAAATTAATATAATGTACATTATTCCATATGGGAAAAATTAATTTGGTATTTGGACAACCTTCTGGAATGAATTAACTTTGAGTACTTTGGTACAACTGTTTATTAATAGTACATTTATTATTTTACTAAAGTATGCATTTATTGCAATACTAAAATATATATATATATATAAAATATATAGCTGTTGAGTAACATTTACCAAACAGTTTTGTAATTAGATATTTCTTAAATCAAAATTTGTTATTACATTTATTTCAGGAAGAAGTTGTTTTGGTTATATATTACAATAAAAATACTAAAAATAGGAAATTTGTGCATATAAATTTAATTTAAATTTCTACATGTTTAAGGATGTGTGCATAAATACAACAGTTGTATATACAAGTGTATATAAAAATTTAAACTACATAACATATTGATATAAAAAAGTTTAATTTTTGATGGTAAATCAATAATATGAGATGATAGAAAATTTAGTTGAAATGCAGTATCATATTAAAATTCCATAATGTCAGAGAATTTAACATATTATTTTAAATATTGTCGATATGTAATAATTATAAATTTGTCAAAAAATATGCAATTTTCTCTATTTACAAAAGTAACTTATATGTGAAAATATCATACTTAACTTATAAAATGCTTAAAATTTAAAAATATTTTTGTTTTCAGTTATTAAAGAATCCCATTAATCGTACTTCTAAACTTTCAAGTGGAGTTGTAAAACAAACTCCCCAAGCGAGTCTATCGTGCACAAGTCAGAGAAGTTTAATTTCTCGGGTTATGAGTTTAAAGCAGCAGATGACTCCGAGTGTTAAGGAAAAAATATGCCATGATATTATTAAAAAGCAACAAAAAGAGGAGGAAGTATTGTTGAAGAAGAGCAATTTACTTAAGATGAAAATTGAAGAACAAAAGAGGTTTGTAATTTATTTTACTAATTTATACCAGATCTTCCAAAAATAATGCTATTATTTTAGTTACTGTAATTATGTTAATTATTATTCAAGAAAGATGCATAATACACCAGTTGATACACCAGTAACTGTCTGGGTTTCAAGTAGTAGATGACAAGACATTTGCATTCAAATGTATGGAATACAAATTTTCATGACTATTCTGATGGTCAAATTAGTTTGCAGGCTTATTTTTATAATATTTTATTATCCACAATTAGCTTCTAATTTTTATACCAATGGAATGACCAACTATTACTAGTGACATTTTTCTAAACAATAAAATTCTATATTATAATTAAAGAGCAATAAAAGATATAGACCAACGGTTCCCAACCTTTTTCATGTGGCAACCCCTTTTTATAAAAGCCAAGTGTCCCGCGACCCCGATACAATTGAAAAAGGCATTTTTAATAAGGTAATTAAAAAAACAACGAAATTAGTGTTTTCTACTATAATTTTATTTTAAATTGTTTAATAATTTAATGCGATGGTTGAAATTGCATGTTATTAACCAGTTTCAAAATTCGTGGGTGAGTTTTTGTTAATGCCAATCTCATGTCATTCTCAACATTTAATTTATTCCTCTCAAACTCTCAACACATGTTTCAACCAACTGTGACAGAATAGTGTACCTAGATTACACTTATTTTANATTTATTGATGAAATCTAAAAGAGACCAACCATCGTCAAAGGATTTTATAGATATTTTAAAAGAATTAAAAAACTTGAATTTATTTTGTCTTAGTTTTGGATACAACGTCGCAAGCATTTCATGCGTCAGTCTATCTCGTAATATTGGGTGCACCCAAAATTCTCTTTGCCTCCGCCGTCGTCTTTTATAGCGACGATAGAGGAGCCACACACAAGCAATCACTTCCACATCCATTTCCAAACCGAGCCAGTGCGCACGCTCCGCTAAACGCTCGTCAAACGCCGAGCTAACGCGCGTTGAAAAACGCCTAGTGTGTACAGGGCCTTATATCTCATATATGAACCTGCATATATATCAAAATATTTAATTTTATTTACTTGGATTTTTAGAATGACTTTAATTAAAGCACAGTTTCTTCTAGTAGCTGTGAAGAAATGATTGTTTATTTTGGAGTACAACTGCCATATTTAACCAATGTTTCATTCTGTAGTTTCAACATGTTACAGCATTAATAAAAACAAATTTTGTGGTTATAATTTTGTTTTATTCCTTCATTATTGCATTGTAAATTATAAAAATTATTCTGGTTATGACTAAAATGTAGTCATTATATTTATTAAAATTTGATTTTACTTCACAGTAAATATCTATAAAAATGTTTTATTCTTATTAGAATGAAATACATCCTAAGAAAAGTATAGGTCTGTTTGTTTTTATGAGATGTGTCAAAGAGTACAAGAATACAGTAGAGCATTGATTATCTGACCCCCGATTAACAGTCACATCGGTTAACCGACCGCTCTAGTCTGCAAATTTCAAATGTCCGCTAGTGATGTGGCACTACAATATTTGGCTATGTCTTGGCTACTTTAATATTATTTTTGTTAAATTTTTGCGTGTTTTAGCTGGCAACATCGGCTCGACCATAGAAAGGAGGATAGTATTTAAACGAGACTTAATTTTCTAATTATGAGTGGTTGCTTGTTTTGTGAGCAATAAAATAATTTTAAAATAATTTTTAACGATACAATAGCGATGATTATTATTTAAAACAAAATTGTTAGGCTTAACATTGATGAAAATTCAACGCGAAGTTGGTTAATAGCGATATACTAATTACATGGGATATACTAATATACTATACTAATAATGTATTTTTTCATTCTTTTCGGTTATCCGATTTTTTTAGTTATCCAACCAACCTGAGTCCCCAGTTGAGTCGGATAATCAATGCTCTACTGTATTTTAATTTTATTAAAAAGGGAGAATTTATTTAAAAACCTTAATGGCCACTGCTTTAGTGATAACAGAGGAAAAGTATGGCGATAGGCCAAAAAATGACCCCCCCCCCAAGATTTTTACATTTCGGACTCTGGACATATTGAAACATTGAGAAATGCAAAAAAAAATTGTTTTTTTTTTCTGTATGTATTGATGTTAAGTGTTTTTGGGGACACAATTTTGTTCACCTTCATTGGAGCTTAATAACTTTGTGCTTTTTGTCAAAAATTTTTGAAATTTTGCAGGAAGGTTTGATTATTAGGGAATTGATTGCTATTAAATTTCAGTGGTTAAAGGAAGTGGAGAGATAATGGGGATACCTCCAGTAGGGTTGGACTTAATGACAATTTTATTCATTATTAGTATTTATAATTTTTTTTATAAAACTTGTCCCTACCCTGAAAATTAAACTTTTGCCATTTTATAATAATTAAAAATATAAAAATTTTTTAAATAAAATTTGGTAACGGATGGTGCCACCAAAATGTTAAGTGTTGCCAGAAAAGTTGAGCAACTTGTTTCTGGTTTATTTTTTTTTAATAGCTATATTGGAATGTGACAAATCATTTTATTTATGTATATCTGGATAAAGATATATAAAAACAGAATAGTCTGTGACACCAATTATTTAAAATTCTATTAATTAAGATGCTTCAAATTTTGTTACCAGTAGATTAGTCCAACTCACTGTAATTTATTTTGAAGTATAGTAAAAACTTTCTTTTTACAAAAACTATAATATTATTTTAATATATTTTGAATAATTATTGAATGAAAGTATTTATAGTAATGTATTTAAATTTCCAGTTTTATTGTCTTAGGAAAAATCTATTAAAACATAATTTGAAGTTTAAAAAATACAGAATATTTATTTTATATAAAATAATAGCCTTTAAAATTTTTTTGTAAAAATAATTGTAATAAAATTATAGTTTAGAATTAATGGTAAATTCTTAATTGAAATTTTCAGAAAGAGGGAGGAAAGAATGAGAAAAGTCACAGAAACACGACAAAAACTAGAGCTGGAGAAAGATCAAAAGAGGAATGTCGAAATTTCAAAAGAAGAGAAGTCTGCAAAGAAAGAAGCAGAATTAAAACAAAAACAAAGAGAAACAATTAAGAAAAAACAATTAATGTAAATAAAAGTTTGTTACATTTATATTTATTCTTGATTTTTGCTTAATATTTGATAAATGATAAGATTTAATATAGTATCAATATTATAGTTAAAAAAGTTTTCTTGTTTAATATTACACACACAAATGTTGATTTTGTTTGTTTAATTTTTTAAATTTTTAATTTACATTTTAAAGAATAATTGTATAAAAATATTTTTAATGAAAATTCTATTCATTATTTTAATTTTTTTTTTAAATATGAAATATAGCAGAAAACAAAAGCAAGAAGAAGTTAAAGAAAGAAAAAAAAAAGAAGAAAATCGACTGCAAAAACTTAAAGAACAGGTTTGTTTGTTTAAAATAAAAGTTCAGATTTACTCTTGTTCTAGGTTTAACTTTTAAAATTTCTGTGACAAAATGTCTATTTGAATTACTACTATAAAAATCAGAATTTAAAATTTTTTAAATGGGTAATTTTTAAAAAGTAGTTTACAAAATATTTAAATTAATTTGAAAATACTCTTTACTTTTTATTTAAAACTCTATGAGAGTTTTAAATAAAAGGTAAAATCACTATTTTTAAAGCACGAAGTCAGTTTTGAATTCTTTGTTGCTTTTGTATGGCAAAAATAAAGTTGTAAGACACATTTCATAAATCTATTTATATTATTGATAAACATATATAACTGATTATTATTGATGCAAAACACATAACAGAACATGAATTAATGAACTTTTACTTCAATTAGTTGATCAAATGGATATTTATGTATAACCTCGTTCGATAGCAATTGACTGTATGTGTGTAATTCGTATGTATTAGTTATGAGTTATTTATTTGATATTTCTTATAAAGTAATTAAGAATTGATAATTTCTCTTAATTGTTAATACATTTAATTTTTATGTTGTTCAAAAAGATAAATTTATTATTAAAGGAATTTTATCAAATTAATAAATTACATAAATATTCAAATGAAGAATAAAAAATTATTGATAATTACATATTATTATTTGTAATGATATATCAATTTGAAATGTACATATTGCTTTGGATCCATTTTTACTTTAATATTCTTAGAGTTCATCCAGACAAACTATTGAATGTGTCATAAAATGATTTAGGAGAAGAACTAATATATAACTAAGAAATAATTGGTAAATAAATAAGAGTGATATTAAAACATCTCTTAACTCATCTTAATTAATCAGTTACAGTAGCATTCTCATTAACCAAGGTTCCATTATCCAAAGCAAATTTTGGAAAAGTATTTTGTCAATACAATTTGTTTTGTGACTTTTGTGCAGACAATGTGCTTTATTTGAAAGGAATGCACATCTTTTTGTTTTGTTTTTATCTAATCAAAATTAGCAAGTTTTGAGGAATTATTCATTTGGTAACAGTTTTCTAATTGGATAAATTAGGAACATAACAGATTTAAGATTCAGATATTTTGTATTATTTCAAATATATTTAAAATAGTTTAAATAATTTTGATTATATACTTTAATTAATTAATTAATTATATTTTAGCAAAAGTTAGATTAAAATTTGTATGCACCATTTATTTAAAAAATAATAACACTAATACTGTCTGAAATTTTTAATTAAGTTAAATTTTTACATTTTATTATTAGACACCAACCAAATCTACCCTTTTACAAAAAGCAATACATAACAGTTATCAGACAAAAGAAGTAGAAGAGAAAGCAGATAATGAGCAGTTGTCTGAGCAGGATACTTGTACTGTTTTAAATGAAACATACAATAAAAATGAAAAGGATCCAGAAAGGTAATTACATTTATGTAAGAACTCTCTGTTTAACATAATTCTGCTTTGTCATTTCATTACAAATTTGTTAATGATTGGAAGTTTCCCTATCTAATATATTATGCCAACTTGAATAATGGAGGTTATGTTTAAAAAATATTCCAAAGAATAATCAATCAATATATATTATAAAGGTAAGTGTACAATGTGCGTACTGCTAAAACTGAAAAATGAGTCCCGGTACAATCAAGGGAGTTATATGGTGTGGTAGCCCTCTATCCCCCATACATGAAGAAGGTTCCTGTTTTTACCTGAAGGGCGTGCTGTTGAAGATATAAGGGCTGGAAGTTAAGGCTTACCCTGAAGAACTTGGCTTCTATTGTACTATTTTTAGATGTGATTTTTTGCGTTTTTGACTGCGTTTTAGTAGGGTACCACGGGGGATGAAAGAAGTGCATTCCTTAATAGTGGAAGTGTTAAGAGAAAGTGGTGTGCAAGATTTATAGGCGCAGATGTGGTTTTTTGCATTATTGCAGTAAATCGAACATATTTTTAGACCCATGTAAAAATTCTCTTATTAGTCTGGAAATGGAGGACTTAATTCTTTTATTCTGTGAAAACGGGTGGGATTGGCTATAATGTAATTATCTTAATCTTTGCTATCGTTACTTTTTGCCCGAGCAACACCAGGCTCATCTGCTATTTTTCTATAAATGTAATATTTATGAGAACATACTTCCCATGACAGCGGTTTTTTGGAGAGTTTGTTCGTTGTCAGGAGGTGTGAGTGACTTTTTTGGAGTGCTTTTCTTACGTAGAATGAGCGTATTTTGTGTTGTGTTAAAGCACAGTAGCTGCTTTTTTGGTTGTATCCCTGGCTCTTCGGGTCTCCGGAACAGGTAGGAGTAATTTAAGTAGCGTTAAGCCCAGCGTGGAGATAGTTTTGCTCCAGGGAGGCATTGGTGCTGTCAGAGACGATGTCTCACCACAAGATGGACAGCTTTCGGGTCTTTTCCCAGCTCGCTGAACTGGATAAATTCAGACTAATTCCCGCTGGACCACCTCTATGCAGTTTTTCTGGAGGGGCATGCCCCTCTTCACCATCTTCACCTAGTCAAAGTGTACCAGGCACTTAAACCACACTTTCCCCAACCGTCAACCCCCCCCTCAGTTCCCATTGAAAGATAACTCGTCAAGCCTACATAGCCTTACGAAAAACGTGGTCCTTAAGGCCATTTTCAAAAAAATTTTTTTTTGAATTTTTGGAATGTTTTTTAGGTCCCCAAATTTTTTCAAAATTTTTTGCCCGTGCGAAAAATTTTATCGTGATTTTAATGAGCCTNGGAAGTCCATTAAAATATGAGATTTTTTAAAATTTAGTTTTACTTTCCTGACTGTTATGTGTACATAACAAGGGAAAGTATTAGAATTGTGTCAAATTTGATCCTCTGGGATTTGTGCAAGTCTCAATGTTTTGAGACAACAAACCCAAAAAAGTAAAAAAAAAAAAAGAAAAAAAATTGTTTGTGTGTTGGTGTCAATTTCATTTAATATCTGAAGATGGAGTAAAGATTAACAAATAAAATTTGGCATGGCAACGTGTGTATAAGGGGCATCAATGCCATTAAATTTTGGAGTATGGAACTTGGGGTTTTGTGAAGTATCTTTAGTGGGGGTTGAACTTAAGAAAATTTTACTTGTTATTGGCATTCAGAAATGAATTTTTTAAAAATGTTTTATCGTCGAAATTAAGCTTTTTTACCTTTTAATAATAATTATAATATAAAAGTTACTTTTTATAACATTTTATAATAGATGATGTCATGCACAATTTAAACTTTTGATTAGAGTTTTTTAAACTTAAATACCTTTTAAACAGAAATTTTTATTATAATTCAACAAAATTACTGCTTTTAAGCTTTTGTTGTTGTTATATAATACATTTTTCAGATAAAGTTCACTGTGCAGAAAATAAAACTGTTTTAAGATAAATTGTTTTTACGTCTTTGTATAGTAGATAAAAGTTTTATCTCTCTATCTATTAACAATAACCATTAAATGATAGCATTTCACACATGTCTGGTATTGAAAAATTGGTCTGAAATTTCATTTATTGAAATTTTTATAGGAAAGAAAAAAAAGATTCATTTACACAGATGAATATTAGCAGCTAATTTAAGTTATTTGTGACAAAAATTGATGCTATTTAATTAGAAAAGTGCATACGTTGGAGAACTTCTCTTTAATTTTACAAATTCTGTTTAAATATCCCAAAAGGAAACAGGCAAAAATACTTGTTTGAATTGATAATTTTAGTTTTTTTGAAAATTTTAGACTAAAAATATTTTTAAAGATGTTTTAAAAGAAAGAAATTCTTTGACAAAATAACATATTTGTTTTATTTATTGCAATTTTAATAACACAGTTTTGTAAGTGAAGATCAAGAAAGAAGACTTTTTATTTTTAATTTTGCCTCAATATTTCAATAATAAGCAAAGACCTTTTTATATCCAAATTCTTGAGATAAATATTAAAGACAAAAATATGAATAATCCTGATCTATGAAGAAACAATTTTGCAATCATCAAAATAACTGTCCTGAAAGTTTTAGCAAATTCTATAATCTGAATCTTTGAAAATGTTCAAAAACAGATACAAAAATTTTAAAAATTAATATTTACAAAATTACAAATATGTATAACAGCATACATGATAACATGAGCAACCCAGGATATTTTCAATTAAAAATTGAATTTTGACTATTTACAAAAAAAATTTTTTTTTTAATTTTTTGAGTCTATCTTTCATCCTTTTAACACACCACAGAAGTAACAGTATATTGGCTTGGATGAACTTCCACAGAACACGTGATAAATTATAACGAAACACACACAAAGTTAAAAACGATCGAAACGCCGACCTTTTATTTGAGGATTCGGCGTTTTTTAACATTAAAACAATGGTTACCATTTCTGACCATAACTACCATGTTCTTTAGCACAATATATAACTGGTTCAGGCCTCCTGGTGGTGATTTTGGGTAATCATAAAGTTCATTTGCATAACAGCATACATGATAACATGAGCAACCCAGGATATTTTCAATTAAAAATTGAATTTTGACTATTTACAAAAAATTTTTTAATTTTTCGAGTCTATCTTTCATCCTTTTAACACACCACAGAAGTAACAGTATATTGGCTTGGATGAACTTCCACAGAACACGTGATAAATTATAACGAAACACACACAAAGTTAAAAACGATCGAAACGCCGACCTTTTATTTGAGGATTCGGCGTTTTTTAACATTA